ACCAAACTGCACCCAAGGTACATGCCTTTGACCGAAATCGAACCTGCGACTCTTTGGTCCAAGGGCCAGTGCTCTAACCACTGAACTGACCAGGGCTCACAGTATTTTTGCAAGATTAAATAAGTATAAGCCAAATATTAAACCAGAACCTTCCAGTATTCACATTAATAAAATGATAGTCTTATACACTGGCTTCCAGCATGAATTGACAACGTATTTCAAAGAGGCATGACTGGCACCTCACCCACAAATTCTTCCATTAAATGGGAAGGAGTTGAGAAACGAAAGATTTTGAGGCCCCCAGTACCAAACCAGAACCCAGTTCTCTGGTTTCCAGAGTCTTGACTGGAAACCACACCATAGGCATCATGTCAATGGGAACGTATTTTCTCCTCTCCTCTCTCTCTCTCCCTCTCTGTCTCTCTCTCTCTCTCTCTCTCGGCTTTTCCCCAATCTTAATTTAAAGGTGACATTCCACATAAAACCTAAGAGAGCTCTGTTTCTCTGCTTCCTTTTAAAGTTCCCATTCTGTTCCTCAGAAGATTCCATTTAAATTCCTCCAACCTGGGCAGACATGGGGTCCTGTGTCTGACACTAAAGACCTGTCACCCAGAGCGAGATCCGAATCATGCGGGGGCAGAGCAAGGACTGATGGGGCAGACTTGGAGGAAGCTTCCAGCCCTGCAGATGGAATATGTTTGTAACAGTGGCCGCTGGCCAGCTACAGGACACGCTTCTGGAGCAGCAAGCCCCCACCAAACAGCTCAGGCTGAACGCCTCACCCGCTGCCTGATGACCCTAATATCAAATGTTATTCATACTTATTGGGTGCCTTCTACATCCTGGACAGTCAGAACACAAGCGTGAGTAAGATGCAGTCCTCCGAGGCTCACATTGCAGAGGCAAACACATAAGCAGGTAATTATAAAACAATGTGGTAAGGCCCCAGCCGCTGTGGCCCAGTGATTAGAACATCGTCCCAAGCACCGAAGGGTCACGGGTTTGATTCTCAGTCAAGCGTACATGTACCTAGGTTATGGGTTCTTACCTGGGTTGTAGGTTCCTTCCAGGCCCCGGTCAGAGCATGTGGAGAGGCAACCAATCATGTCTCACATCAATGTTTCTCTTTCTCTCTCTCTCTCTCTCCCTCCTCCCTCCCTCCCTTCCACTCTCTCTAACGATCAACGATCAACGGGAAAAACATCCTCAGGTGAGGATTAACACACACACACACACACACACCACCACCACCAACAACAACAATGTGCTAAATACAAAAATAGAGAACTTCTAGGGGCACTGAGAGGTAGCTGTAACACAGGTGGGCAATTCTTTGTGGAGGAGGTGACACCTCCGGCGGTTTTAGAGGATGGCCTGGGGGAGCAAGAAGTGAGGAGTGAGATGTGGGCAGTGCAGAAAGAGCATCTGGGGCAAAAGGAATGAGTGTGAGCCAGGAAACCCACGTAACAAGCAGTATGGTTTCCGAGAGGCACTCACTCAAGGGCCCTGGATAATGCTAGCACCAAGTGAGAACGCCGAGAACCCCCGATGAGTAAGAAATGAGCCTGGGGCTGGACAGGGCCCAGGGGCCTTATAAACTCTTGTGCAGGATGAACTTTGTCCTATAGGTGTGGGGCAGCCAATTACTTTAAAAGGTTTAAGCATAGGAGTGACTCAGTGTCTATATTCTTTGATTTAGGAGGTTTTTTCCCCCAAAGGGAAACTGCAGAATAGCCATGAAAGCTAGGGAACTGGGCCCTCGTAGTCTAGTGTGGCCCTGCCTGACTCATACCAGAGGCAAGCCCAAAGCTCCCTTGGTCTCTGCCTCTTCCGTCTGCTCAGCCTCTCTGTAATGCTGATCTCGTTAAAAGGTGATGTGGGCACAGGTGACTCAGTGTTCAAACAGCTTTGAAGCAGCCTGAAGTCCACACTGAGCCTGGGCACCTTTCTGCAATGGGGTCCTGGGCAGGGAGGCAGGGAGGCAGGGAGGCAGGGAGGCAGGCCTTGGGGAGCAGGCACAGGGCGGCCAGGTCCGCTGCAGTGTGCCCCCGAGCCCCGCTGTATCTGGTCTTGCAGCTTCTCCTCCCTCCCTCCTGACAGCCTCTGGCCCGTCTGACTTCACCTGATGTTGTAGTGGGAAGGGAGGGGGGCAGGGGAACACAAGCCCATCTGGCAAGAGGAGGGATCAGCCACTGTGACCATTCCAACCTCCCCAGCTAAGAACTCTGGCTCCTGTACTTTTCCAAACGTACGTCTCACCTCTAAAGCTGCCACTTGGAACGATTCCCCCCTTGTTCCCCAACCTCTTTCATCTCCTTAGTCCCATTCCTCATTACCCCCACCCCACCCCCGGAGGCCCAGGCCTAGGTGAGGTTCTGTCCACTTCCTTTCTGCCGGACCTTGCTTCTTTATGACTCCTTCAATAACTGCTGCCTCCTTGATTACTCCTTCATACCTGACTGCTCCCTTCCATTATTCCCCTCATTCTGAACACATGAGTAGACTGTAATCCACTCACTTTACAGCTGTTCCAACCGCTCCCCACACTAATCACTACTCCTTGAATCTGCAGTGGAATGAATGCCTTCCTCCTGTCTCCCTTCTGAATTCTGCTTCATCCTTCCAGGCACAGACAAATGTTCTCACCCTAAGACTTTCCCGTATCACCTCTAAGACAGATCAAATATAACAGGACTTTGCTCACCTTTGTTAAATTATGGGGTTTTGCTTATGTCATAATAACTAGTTCTCAGGCACTGCTCAGAGAACATTGTATATAGTAACTCATTTAATCCTCAGCACGCCCTGCTATTCTCTCCGAGTTTACAGCTAGTCAGTGAAAGAACTAACTAATCTCCGCACCTCTCCACCCAGAATGCTGCACCTGCAGCCCAGGCGGGCTCTGAGTTCAAGAGCTACACTCTCTTCTCCTGGTACCCTAAGTGCCTGGCACACAGTAGGTGATTACTCAAAGTGTTCTGAATTGAACTGAAATGTGTTTAGCATGCATTCCTGTGTCTTCCCCACATGTATGTTCTGTCTTCCCAAGGTGTCCTCAAGGAGAAAAGACCGGATGGTCTCTTTCTTCACAGGCCCACAATCACGATGCATAATGAGCTGGTGGATTCGTAGGGTGCTGGGGTGCAGTTGGGGGCAAACTGGTTTTAGATACTCTATGTCTTAAGTGTGCACAATTTACAAAGGCTTTTGCACATGTGTAAGCTCATAGGTTCTGACGTCAGCAGGTGAGGAAGGTGAGATAGAGGTAGAGAAGGTAAGGGTACTGAAGGGCAGATTGCTTGAGACCTGGCCAAACTCTCCGAACTATAAATATCTGAACAAGATTACAGAGATTACAACCCAGGATTCTGAACGAAGCACCTGAAAGCAGGTCTCCTGGTCACCCATATGGTCCTGCACAGCTGTGGCCACCATGAGTGGGCGGGCTGAGTGGCTCCAGCTCCTCTGCCAGCTAGGGCAGCCTTGGCAGCCAGGGCAAGTGCAGAGGCAGGTGGGAGGCTGGTGAGAGGCAGAGACCTGGCCAAAGGGGAGGCTGGTTAGGTGTTCCAGAGAGGAGGCTGGCTGAGCTGAGATGGGGCAGCATGTGCTAAGTCAGGTTCAGCAGGGCCTCTGGGGCCTCTCAGAGTGTTTGGTCCCCTTCACCAAACATGACAGAACACCCTGGGAGTTGCCATGATTTCCAAGTGGTCTGATAATACAATATAAAGAGTCAGGAAAGCCCTGGTTGGTTTGACTCAGCAGTTAGAGCATTGGCCTGTGGATTGAAGGGTCTCAAGTTTAATTCCCAGTCAAGGGCAAGTACCTGGGTTGCAGGTTTGACCCCTAGCCCTGGTTGGGGTCATGGGGGAGGCAACCAATCCATGTGTCTCTCTCACATTGCTGTTTCTCTCTCTCTCGCTCTCTCTCCTCCCTTCCATTCTACCTAAAAATCAATGGAAAAATATCCTTGGGGATTAACAAAAAATAAAATAAATAAAATTGATCATTTAAAAAAGAGTGAGGAAAAACTGGTTTGTCCTGTGGATTAATTGGAGGTAGTAAGTGTCTCCATGTTATTTGTAATGACCCCACTGCACTTCTAAAACCTATACCTTTATTTTATTGTCCTAACGCAACACAGCTTCAGATAGAATTTACTAGATGTCGTGTGCAGAAGAAAAGGGTTTTCAGGTTCAGGGGGCCTCTGCAGAGGGAAGCTTTTCCCTAGTCTAAAGGGCAGAATTAAATAATGAATTCTTCTTTTTTTATTTTTTTCCTTATTGATTTTAGAGAGACAGAAAGGGAAAAGGACAGAAACATCCATGAGAAAGAACATCGACTGGAAGCCTCCTGCATGCCCCCCACTGGGGATGGGGCCCACAACCTGGGCCTGTGCCCTGACTGGGAACCGAACTGGTGGCCTCTTAGTGCATGGGTCCACGCTCAACCACTGCGCCACACTGGCTGGGCAGGGCAGTGATGGTCTTAGCCAAAAGACCTGCCCTAGCTCACCAGCGGGGTGGTCTTCCCTTCCCAAAGTCTCTTCTTCGCCCTGAGTCTTGATCTCTTCGGCAAAATAAGCATGAAAATGCCCATCCACTCCCTAAAGACTGTGACAATGTCCCGCGCCCAGGCCTGTGAGGTCCCCGTCTAGGCTTCCCGCTACTCTGAAGGGTCTCTGGGGTCTAGGTCTCTCGCGCCTCTCTGTTCAGGAAATGAATGAAGCACTGCAGTGTCTACGCCGAAAGGGAGCGAGCACCACCTCCCCCGGGAACCTCCCGCCCAGGCGAAGTCTCCGAGATCGCGGAGTCCTCGGTGGCGTTGACAGGGGCGAGCTGGGCTGTAGCGACAGGGGCGGAGGGGGCTGGCTCCGAAACCCGGGTTTCCGGACCCTGGCACCGAGGGCGTGGGCGCTGCTTTCCCCGTCCTACCCCTCAGGGCGGCAGCAGGACGCCCCCGGAAGCCGGCCAGCGTCGGGGCTGGGGAACCACCGCGCTTACCTGCGGCTCCACCAGCCATCGCGGCGCGGCGCCGGCGGGCGCGGGGCGCGGGGCGCGGAACGCCGAGTACACGGGGATGCGGTCCCGGGTGCTGTACAGGGTGGCGAAGCGCTCGGCACCCTCGGAGCGCTGACAGATCTTCACGTGGCCCTCGGCCGCCAGCCCCGCGGGCGGGGTCTCGGCGTAGAAGAACCGGTTACATTCGCCGAAGCCGGCATCCCCCTCGCCCAGGAGCCGGCCCTCCAGCAGCGCGCCCAGGGCGAGCAGGCTGCCCAGCGCGAGCCAGCACGCGCGGCCCATGGCGGCCTCTGCGAGCGCGGGCGGCCGCGGCGCGGGCTCTGTGCGGCGGGCGGGGAGCGCGAGGCCGCGAGCGGGCCGAGGGGAAGTCGGAACGGGGCGCGGCTGTGCGAGCGCTCGGCGGGGACCGGCGGGGCGGCCCCGGCGGCAGGGGCGGGGCGGCGTCCGAGGCCGCGCCTCCCTCGCACCCTCCCTCCCCGAAGATGGTGGCTGCGGGGCCGCGGCCGGAGATTGGAGATGCGGACAACGTTGCCCGTGCTGCACCCGGCTCCGACGCAGGGCACCTGCTGCCGCTCTGCCCGGTCTCCGCAGTCTGCGGGAACGCGCTCTCCCGAGAGTGGACGATCCCAGCGGGTCGGCCTAATCGGGGGGCTGGGAAGGGCCGTCCCCTGGGCTAGGCTCCAAGAAGCTTCTTGAGCCAACGCGCGGGAGGGGGACCCTTGGGGAGGCAAAGGGGCGGTGTGAGATGCTCAGAGAACTGTGTCTCTTTGAAACAGTTGAGCAGAGATCCCCTCTAAAATCCGATGAAAATTAGTCTCCCCCTCCCAACGATATGCTCAAGCTCCTACACAGGAACACATCGATGTATCCTTAGCAGATCAGGAGCCTTGAGACCGAAGCCCTGTTATAGGAAGTTCCTAAAATGGCAGACCGTGCAGCCCTTGTGGTTTATCTGGTGCAAGGCCTAGAAACAAAACCAATACCAAGAAAACAAGACCAGTCAACAGCGTTGGTTGATAGGTTTGTTGATTCATTGCTTCATTCATCCCAAGGAGTGCCTATGTGCTAGCTTGGTGGTAAACAAGGACAGGGGTCCTGCTGTCATGCGGAGGACAGCCTAGTGGGGAAACTTGTCATGAATCACAGAATCATGCCATTAGAGGAACAATTAATCACTGACCACGGATCTATGAGAACCTGACCCTACAGGGGTTCAGAGTATAATGTCGGGTTTGCCTGAAGAAGTCTGAAATGAGACTCAGTAGATAACATGAACTGGGCAAAGAGTGAAACAGCATGTGTTGGCAGGATTTAAGGAAGGCTGGTGTGGGTCTAGAGCAGAGAATTGGAAGATGATGAGAAATGAGGTTAAAGAAGGAGAAAGAGTCATATCATTCAGGGTATCATAGGCCAAAGGCCTTCAAACGTTTTTTACAAGACCCACGAGAAAACAAGTTTCATGTAATAATACATATGCTCATGATCGGCATTGCAACCTGGTATTTCTATTCTATAATATTCCACTTTTTAAAAATGCCAATGGTGATCCACAAAATTGTTTCTATGACCCACTAATGGCTCATGACCTACAGTTCAGAAATAAATCATATTGAAGGTTTCATCTTTCAACAGTAGTGCTGCGATCACATTTGCTGTCTGTGCAGAAATGGGCAGATCTGAGCAGTCCAGAATGAATGAAGAAAATCATTTGCAATAATCCAGGTGAGGGATGGTAACTCGGACCCTGGTGGTGGTACAGGTGGACCCAGAGCACCTACTCAGGGCAAGTGCCCTTGCTTACATCTTATTATTTAATCTTATTTCCCTAGTGTGCTACATGGGGGACTGAGGTCAGAGTATTTTGATGCTTGCCTAAGATGGCGTAGACAGCTAGCCCTGAGCCATATTTGAACCAGGTCTGTCTGGTTCCCAAGCCTGACCTATCCTCTAAGTCACAGCAAATCTGTAAGGTGAACCTACTAAATAGGAGACGAATTGTCAGAAGAACATATTTTGGAGCTTATGAACAAATTCCATACAGGCTTCAATTCCTGGAAATGTTGACTAGGTTTGGTCCCTAAAATGAAACCTAAAATTATATCTTAAAAAGAAGCAAACAGACACTTTTAATATGAGGTCACAGAAGAGGCTAAACTTGGAGTCCCCTTTGTTCTGGGGTTGATGACCTTGGTCATCTAGTACTTGTATCTCGGCCAAGTCATCTCACCTTGTAGACTTCAGTCATGTCCTCCCTTGGGGATGATGCCTCTCCTAGGAAGCTGTGAGGATTCTAGATTTTATAGAATTTTTAATATTTATATATATATTTTATTTATTATATTTTTTTGTTCAGACAGAGTGGGAGGGAGGGAGAGAGAGAGAAACATCGACGTGAAAGGGACACATCGAGTGGCTGCCACCCACACAACCCAACCAGGGCCAGGGACAAACTGCAACCGAGGTACCTGCCCTCAGTGGGAACTGAACCCGGGTCTCTCTGGACCACAGGCCGATGCTCTAACCGCTGAACCAAACCTGCCAGGGCTAATATTTATATTGTTATATGGGATTATACATGTTCCCCAATGTCAATTCATGTTGTCAACTATAAAGAGCTATATAAACAACTATAAACAATCCCTCTTCTCCCAGTGTTCTTTTAAGTGCTTCTATTATGGTGCTTATAATGTTAAGTTATTAATAATTCCTGTTTGTCTTCTGTACTAGATCATGTACTCCTGGGAACAGGGTGATGCCGTCTTTGTTTCTAGATCCCAGTAGCTACCACAGAATCTGGAGTAATAGATGTCAAATGTGATGCTTATGTTATATTTTAATAAATGCAGAATATATAATAAAGTAAATTCTTGGTCTGTATACCTAAAGTATTTATATGACTTTAATTCACTGTTTCTCAAACTTTCTGGATCCCTGCCTCTCCCCCCTCCCAAGCATAAACGTCTTTGCCATTCATCCCTGACCCAGGGCAGATTCCAGTTTTCCCCCAGGCTCCTTTCACATATACACACGGAACACTGCAGGATGATTTTGTCTTCTTTATTTCCTTTAGTTTATAGCACAAAACAATGGAAGTTCTTTTGTCTTCTTGCCTTCCAAATAGAAAATTATTATAGCCCTGGCCGGTTTGGCTCAGCGGTTAGAGCGTCAGCCTGCGGTCCAGAGAGACCCGGGTTCGGTTCCTGCTAAGGGCACGTACCTCGGTTGCAGTTTGTCCCGACCCTGGTTGGGTCATGTGGGTGGCGACCACTCAATGTGTCCCTTTCACGTCGATGTTTCTCTCTCTCTCTCTCCCTCCCACTCCCTCCAAACAAAAAAACGAAAAAATCACCTCTGATGAGGAGGGAAGGAGGGAGGGAGGAGGGAGGGAGGGAAGGAAGGAAGGAAGGAAGGAAGGAAGGAAGGAAGGAAGGAAGGAAGGAAGGAAGGAAGGAAGGAAGGAAGGAAGGAAGGAAGAATATCGAACATACTTTTGAAAATTACAGTGTCCTTACCCCAAGATTCTAGAACACACTACCGGGCAGGAGTGCCCTGATTTAATTGTAATTTTTGCTGACTGCTCATTCCAGGGGAGGGCTTTCTTTAGCTGCATCTTTCTGTACAACGCATAGTCCTTGGGTAATTCACTGCTACCTCTTGTCTCTAGTCCCTGTTCTTTTCCACTAACTGTTCTCACAGGGGAGGAGGTTTCAAAGCAGATCCTCCTGGACCTCCGCACTCACACCTATGCCAAGCCAACATCTGTCGAGAGCAAAGGCCTGAAGAGAGAGCTAAGGGCTGATGTGGAATAAAATGACATTCTACTTGTACTTCTGTGGTTTGGTTGTTTTCATCCCAAGCTGTTTGAAAACATGAGCCATGGGTACTTCTCCAACCCCAGCCCCTCACTGCCTCAGTGCTCTCATGGCCACTGCATCCCCACCACCACCTGAGAGCAAGCCACCCTCATCTCTCGCCCAGCTCCTATCCTTTCATCTCCTCCAATCCATTTCCCAGCTGGAGTGACTTCCTAAAATAAATCTGGTGATGTCATCCTACTCTTACAGCCCTTCAATAACTCTCCATCCATTTTAGGATGAAGCTCCCCTCTCCACCCGATCCCCAGACCACTGAGATCTGGCCCCTCCCCCTCGGCCTTATCCCTGCCACTCCTACCTGGTCCTTGTAGTTCTTTGAATGTGCAATGCTCTCTAGTCTCTGAGCCTTTGTACCATAAACTACTTTCCGTGGCCTGGAATTCTCACCACACACTTTCATCTCTTCGCCTCTTTCATTTACTTCTGGGTTTTTGTTTTTTTGTTTTACATAATCCAGCTAAACATTAGTTCCTCAGGTCACCTACCTTCCTGACAAGTGTGCCTTCACCACTTGTCCCCTCCTGCCCTATGTAAGGTTAAGGGCCCCTTCTAATTGTGTTTATTAAACCATTATTTCCCCTGTATCTAATTGCTACCTTCTCCCTTAGACATAAACACAGTGTATTCAATACAGTGAGTACATGAACGAACAAACGAATGAATGAATGAATGAATGAATGAAAAAATCCTTTCTCCATGTAACTTGATTTGAATTCTCATGCTTACACACACTCTCTCCCCAGCAGCCTGCACTAAAACAGACACCTGGCCCACAGAACTACAGGGCACTTCTGGTTGTCCAACTGTCTTTGCCTGTTTGTCCAGCTGTTAGAGGATTACTTCAGGCAGGTATAACTTAAGTCCCTCGATGTAGAGACATATTTAAAATAGTTTTTTTCTGATATGTGTCAATAAAAAATAAATTAATAAAGAAAAATTAAACAATTTTTCTGAAACTATTTGGCTTTCCGTATCGATGAGGAGGAGAGTGCAGTGGTTACGAGCTGGGACTTGCATTGAGACTGTCTGGGTTCAAATGCCAGCTTCTCTTACTGGCTGCGTGACCTTGGACAAACCATTGGCTACTCAAGAGATTTTACACCCTTTTCCAAATAGCTAATCAAAGTATTTTCTAATCATATACACACTCTCCACAAGGGAAGTTTCCATTATAAAACTATCCTCACACCCTGGCTGGTGTGACTCAGCAGTCAGAGCATCAGCCCACTCACCAAAGGGTCTCAGATTTGATTTCTAGTCAAGGGCACCTACCTGGGTTGCAGGTTCGATCCCCAGCCTGGTTGGGTGTGTGTGGAAGGCAACCAATCAATATGTCTCTCTCACATCAGTATTTCTCTCTTTCTCTTTCTCTCTCCCTCCCTCCCTTCCACTCTTTCTAAAAAAAATCAATGGAAAAAATATGCTCAAGTGAGAATTAACTAAAAAATTTTAAAAATCCTC